TATTTTCCATCCTTCGATTGAATCCATGGATATGCAGATATGAAGGGTTAACTGCATCTTCTTCTCTCCAAATATCAAATTCCTATCAAATATATAATATCATATACAATTTCAAATTAAATTCACAGGTTTTTTTATTGTTTGATTTTGCTTTAACCTGTCATGTAACATATTGCCATGAGTCTTTGGATGTGGCATCTAACCAGAAAAAGGTGCATATGGTAACTCTCTGTATGAGAGGTGCAAATACAGAAGGAGACAACATTTTTGTAGACTATTTTTAAAACACAATGAATGGCATTATCAACATCACTCACAATTTAAATATTATGTATACATTACAGATCATCTCCATATCAACAATTATGTAAGGGGAACACTAGAAAATAAAAATTTTATAATGTTTTTATGCAGTGCTTAAGCAACTGAATGTTTTATCTGAAGAGTCTATGATGTAAAAATCAGAATCAAAGTTTTGCTTTTTGAATGCATGGGTTGTAACTCACAGAAAATGAGGAGTAAACTGTTTGGTCAGGGTCTTGTTAGTTTAAGAAGCAAAAAATGTAAGAACCAAAATATGCACACCATTAAAAATACTAATTCTGAAAATTATGTAGCCAAAAATTAAATCATCCTGTCCAGCAAGTTCCAAAAAATTCACACATTTCAAATATTAAGGCAACTTTTTCCCAACTAATCAGTACTTTATAAAAATTTTTGTCACTTCAAAACATTCTATACATAGTGACAATAAATTTAGCTAGTTGTAATCTCTAATACATTAATAAAGTGTCACATATTACAAAGAAATTATACTAGGAGCTTGCATGTATGTGCAAGTGATATGCAAGTATATGTATATTCTGTAGTATTTAATATACACAGAAATATATGTAAGTTATGGAGCAATATCATAAACATCTATAAGACTGCCACCCAATTAGAAAATTATTAAAACCACTTATGTGTGGTTCCTCTGTCTTATCCCACCATCCTCCCACTGCTCTGAATGGTGGATTCTTGTTCCCTAGCATTTTTTTCAACCATATATGAAGCTAAACAGTTTAATTTTGCCTGTTACTGACCTTTCTATGGTACCTACTCTTCTGAAATTTGCTTTTTAAACCCATCATTGCTTTTAATATTCATCCAAAGAGCCTGTGGACTGTCCTATGGTTTTTACTGCTATGTGAGGATACTACCTTTTGATTACCCGTGCTTCTGTATTGGGTATGTGGAGTTCCAGCTTTTGCTGATATTCATGTTTCTATAAAGTTCCTGGTTCGTGTTCAGTTGTCATGATTGCGTCACTTTCCCAGGACACTGTTAAACCTAACTGCATGTTACAATCAACATAAGAAATTTAAAAAAATAAATTATACCACCCCCACTCATGCCCCAGATGTTTTCATTTAATTGTAGCCATGCAACTGTCTAGGGCATTTCCTTAGAGGTAGAATTGCTAACTCAGAGGACATTGGCATCTTCAATATTATCCATGTTATCTGAGTTGCACCCCACCCCTGACCAGTGAGGAGAGTTCCCTTCATTCCACTTTCTCATCTGTTTATATTGTCACACCATGCATTTTGCCAGTTTAGAGAGTGTAAGATGGCACTTCTTGCTTTTGCTTTCTGTTCTATTGATTGATTTCCTCATCTCTGCAGCAACATCACCCTGCTGGCTCAGTTGGTAAAGAATTCGCCTGCAGTGTGGGGGACCTGGGTTCAGTCCCTGGGTTGGGAAGATACCCTGGAGAAGCAAAAGGCTACCCAATCCAGATTCTGGCCTGGAGAATTCTGTTTTAATTACTATAGTTTTAATTGTCTCTGTTGTAATGTTCCCCTTTATTCTGCCTCTTTAAGAATGTATTAGATATTTTGGCCCCAACAGTGGTTTGTGTTGCCACTAACTGAAACTTTGGTTAAAATTTACTCTTATTTTATAAGTATCTATAAAGAATAGAAAAATGAAAGTGGTTATGCTATTGATAATAAAGTTGAGACCAAGATGAAATCAGTTAAGTGCCCAAAACCTTTTACATCACACTAACTCCTCAGTTAATCTTTGGTGAGAATTAGGTACTTGTTGGGTCTAAGTTGACTGTTAAATTGACAAAGAATATGTATGAATAACTGGAACTATGTTATTGAACTATGTTATTACTACTTCCCTGGTAGCTCAGTCAGCAAAGCATCTGCCTGCAATGCGGGAGACTTGCGTTCAATCCCTGGGTTAGGAAGATCCCCTGGAGAAGGAATATGGCAACCCACTCCAGTATTCTGGCCTGGAGAATTCCATGGATGGAGGAGCCTGGTGGGCTACAGTCCATGGGATCACAAAGAGTCGGACACACAACTGAGCAACTTCACTTCACTTCATGTTATTGAAAATTTTGTGAAAAAGATAAGATGGTGAGTTACAGGAAATTAAGTAATGCAATTTATGGCTGAAGGATAAATAACAACAAAAATGTTCCAAGAATCCAAATGATAGGAGAAACTCAGAGTATGTGAAGTTGTTCATAGGAAAACAGCTTTATACAGATTTCTTTAACATCAGGTAACAGTGTATAAAACATTAAGACATAAAGCAAAAATCAAGTCAACTAATATTAGAGCTTTAAAACTCAGTTCAAATATTACTCTTCCTGCAAAACCTCCATCCATCTTTGCCGAAAGTGTTGATTGTTTCCTCCTAGGCTGGCAGCTCCATGGCATACAGAATCGTAATTAACTTTGTATATCATTCTCCCCTAGAATGAGATTCTAAAGATGAGGGAAATTTCCTCTTTCAAGGTGCCCCTCTTTGCCATACAGCAGGTGCTCATGGAGGACATTTTTAAATAAACACATGAGCAAAATCTTAGGTTATTAGGTCTCTATTTTTTTTTAATTTGGCTACATAACTCTTACAGACTATATCAATGTACACAGTTGATTGCAATCTAATACACATAGAGCTTGACCTTGAAATGAAAGAATAAAAAAGAGCTTTGGGGAAGAAGAAACAAAGTAAGAAATAAAGCTTATGTCACTCCTGAGTGAAACTGGCTTTCAACTAGGAAATGGACAAGTAAAACAGTCTAACAGTAAAATAGTCTAACACAGTCCTATTCAACAGGGAAGAGATTAAATACAGAACAATTTAAAAATTACTGCCAACCGAAGCTGAAAAGAGATCACCAATTAGTCTCTGACCCTTGTAAAAAAGTCAGGCAGCTTCCCCAAGTAGTACATGGAATAACTCCATATCTTTTGCTGCCAGAGCCCTCAAGCATCACCACCAGATCACTGTCCCAGGAGATCAGAGATTGTCCAGGCACCCAAATTAGCCCCCTGCAGATCACACTGTGAAGAAAAATGCTTTAGACAGGCCTGCTGTTCTAATACAGTCCATCTTTAACTCCCCTTAATGTCATCTAACTGAAAAGATGAGAGAAATTTAATGAGACAAAGTAAAAATACTACAAACAAATTAACATAAGAATGAGAGAATCTTCATTATAAATCTCATCTTTCAATTTACTGAGTTTCTGTCGAACAGTATAATTTAAATCAATGAAAGCAATTTAGACCAAAATTCATAAAAGATGTTTCTGGTAAATACTAGGAAATTTTAAAACACTTTCCTTTTGTAGCATTTGCAAAAGAGAAGAGAGACAGAAAGAGAAATAGAGAAGGGGTGGAAACAATGGGGTAAGAGAAAGGGAGATCAGAAAAAGAAAAAAAAATTCTCTTTTGGTTATTTCTTTATAGATTGTTCTCTGTTTATATTGTGCTTACCTAAAAAGTTAAACTATCCTCCCTTCTTGAATGCTGTAATTTTGGAAACAAAATGGTAAATATTGGTGGGAAATAAGAAAAAAAAAGTTGCTTCAAGCTTTTTCTCATTTATATTATATATCTTTGTGATGGGCTCTGGCATTGTCTCTGGTCTCAAGGGCCTTCCTTAGTTTTTGGCTAAGCTTTGAAAGATGAGGGTAATGGTACTGGTCAGCTGAAATTCAGATAAATGTTTTGAAAACAATGGAAATATCTTAGATTTTACCTAAAAAGTTAAAACTCAAGTGATAAGCCTGATAAATCATTTCTTAAATGTCAGTTGCTCATTGAAATTTTGAAACTTACAGGAACCGTTCCTATATTTGTGCTTATCTGTGTGAGTAAAATTAAGAATTACAAGGAGGGAGCAGCATTTCTCGTCATATCTTTCAATGTCAACCAAATTAGAAAAAATAGTAAAAGTATATATGTATCCTCAGTCGTGTCTGACTCTTTGTGGCCCCATGGACTGTAGCATGTGAGGCTCCTCTGCCTATTGAATTTTCCAGACAAGAATACTGGTATGGGGTGCCATTCCATTCTCCAGGGGATCCTCCAGACCCAAGGATCGAACCCACGACTCTTGTGTCTCCTACATTGGCAGGCAGTTTTTTACCATTAGCACCACCTTCTGTTCTGTGCTGAATAACTTCAGTCATGTCCTGCTCTTTGCAACCCTATGGACCATAGCCCATGGTCGGGACCATATGGACCTGCAGTCAGCTTCTTTGGACCATATGAACCGTAGTCAACCACATGGACCATAGTAAGGCTCCTGTGTTCATGGGATTCTTCAGGAAAGAATACTGGAGTAGGTTGCCATGCCCTCTTCCGGGGATCTTCCAGATCCACGGATTGAACCCACATGTCTTTATCTCCTCTTTATATCTCCTGCATTGGCAAGCAGGTTCTTAACCATTAGTGCCACCTGGGAAACCCCAAAAGTATATATGGTGGTATTCAAATGTGACATATACATAGTACATAGATATGAATTTAATGGCATTTAAGATTTATAAGTTCCCAGGAGGCACGAACCAACCTTAACTTTCTGTGACCAGTGTTTAATATTGAATGTATTTACATACCAAATCCAAGCTCCTCAATCACAAAAGTTGGGAGAAGTGACATTGAGTTTTTTAGCAATGACAAGAGACATATTTTCCAGATATGTGGTTATCTATTTCCTTTCCCACTTGTGATCACAGTTAAACCAGGCTGCTCTTCCAGTGACCCTTCTTCTCCAGTGATGGATGTGATCCAGTCTGTGTAGGCAGAAATTCTGGTGAAGACTGTTGGTGCGGCAGGATGGCAGTTACTGCTGCCCCAGCTCACAATACCAATGAGCTTGTACTGCCCACCCTTGCCACACTGCAGTGGTCCTCCAGAATCTCCCTGCAACCAGCAAAAAGAGAAGTTCATTCTCCCTACTGCATGATTCATGGGGGGTGCCAACCCCCAACTGCAGCGGATGATCAGACAGAGTGTAAGTCACTCTCCCATCTCTGATTTCTGCTCACAACAGCTTAAGGAACTAGGGCCACAGAGCTCGTTGGCTGCTGTTACAGATCTCTGATTCAGATCAAAATTTATATTTTCAAAGCAATGCTGAAAGAAACATAAATTCATTTTATGCTGACCATAGACTACCAGGCAGGAAGTTTCATGTGTCTAATAAATATAAATGAGCAAATGATGGCTTTGAGTTACACAACAGCATTTTTATATTTTCAGTGCTACTGGAAATATGTAGTTTGAGCTACCTAATTCAGCTATGATGTCAAACCATAAGAAATCATTATTTTTTGTAGGTCAAAAACAGCTGAAAATCATCAGTTTCACATAGTTCAACCTAGCAATGGAACAAGTAATTCCTTTTGAAAACTGAATCTATGCAAATATCAAATTAGCAATCGCAGTACATCAACTTAGCAATGGACTTAATTCCTCTCACTTTTTGCTTTAAAACTGCCATACGTTTGTACCTCTTTCTGGTCAGCAAACAAACATTCAGAAGACAACACTGAAAAGAACCTCCTACCCTCGTGAATACAGGCCTTAATTACCATACAGGAGGATGATCCGGAAGCCCCTCCACATATATTAGTGTCTTTAATTTCCAGTCCCCAGTAGCTTCGACAAGATATACTACTGATCAGTGGTACCTCTGCCTGCTGCACAGTTTTAGGAAATGCATCTTCTAGTAGAAAAGAAATTAAAATACATAGGCAAATGCTATTAAAGGATAAAACAAAATTAGCTTTACATATACACAGACTCCAAAGGGTAAATCCTACTCAATCTCCTCTCTCAGCACTTCCATGATGCCATTAGGTGACTTGTAAAAAAACTAATTATTCTACAGTGGTTTATACAACAGAAACAACAGAAAACATTTTATGTACATTCTTTTGTCATTAGTATAGTCCTCAGAAGATATAAAAATGATACCACCTTATGAAAAAATGACAAAATTTGTACCCAAATCAGTTGTTGATAAAGCAAACAACATAATTCACTTTTTACATATGAAGTCTATACTTCACTTCATTTGTATTGCTATCTTTTCATTCTTTTGATTTGACTTCTGCTGAGCAGGACATTCTGTTTAAGTACTGACACTGCCTGGAAGCTGACAACTGAAATCACATTCTAACTCTTTACTTTGTTGGATATTTGTAACTAGTTAATTCATCTGGAAAATAGGGTGTAGGTAAGACCAGAGACATGGGTTTGATCTTTGTATCAACTAGAATATTTCCACATAATCTTTCCACCCATTTACCTTTTTAAAAAAAATTGAAGTATAGTTGATTTACAACATTGTGATAGTTTCTGGTATACAGGAAAGTGATTCAGACACATATGTACATTTTACACATATATATAATGTATATATATATGTTCTTTCTCATATTCTTTTCTATTATGATTTATTACAGGATATTGAATTTGGTTCCCCGTGCTACACAACAAGACCTTGTTTTTTATCCATCCTATATATAATAGCTCGCAGCTTCCAGTCTCAAACTCCCAATCTAACCCTCCCCGCTGCCTTCCTCTCCCTTGGCAACCAAAAGTCTGCTCTCTATGCCTGAGTCTGTTTTTGTCTCACAGATAAGTTCATTTTTGTTACATTTTAAATTCCACGTGTAAGTAATATCATATCTACACACTTACCTTTTATACCACCCTATCATTTCAGAAAAATGCCTGAAAGCTTTAAGAACAGGCACATACATCTTCAAGTATGGGTTCTTACAATAGTAATAACTACACTATTGTGAAAATAAACTGTGTGTGTGTGTATCTGTGTGTGCACTCACAGCGCAATTGGGGAGTAAATACACACAAATATTTATTAGGTAATAACATCATTAGATAGTTACCAACACAAGTTTTTAGAAGTATCAATGAACCAGAATCAATGAACTTGTGTTCATGAATATGATGGCCTAAAACTCAAGCTGTCACCTTTAGATCTATCATGGAAAAAAGTTTTTCTACTATAATTCCTATGAAAAATACAGAAAGTTAATAAACAGTACACTCAGATTTCACATATAATTGTTTGGATTCTAATTTTAGAAGAGGTAATAAATATACTCACGATGAGGTTCAGTTATTCCCCATCCAGCAGTCAAACATTTGGAAAGTAAATTTATTTTATCATCTTTCCCTGGCAAACAGATTGTAGATACAAACTCTCCTAATAAAAAGGATGAGAATGAAAAAGACAAATATCAATTCGTCTATAAGATTCATATTAACATTGTCTATATTGCTTGCTCTTAGGTGATAGCTCTAGAAATGTCTATTTTGACCTGACACTATCCTCTGTAACTCTATAATTTAATAAATAAATTCTTTCAGAAGCTTTCACCTATTAGTTACTCAGAGGGGAGCATCCCAATAAATGTACATGATACCATTTTGCTCCAACTATTTCCATATCCTCCTAGGAAAACAGAAACACACGCCCTGCACTGATATGTGGGGCTTCTCATCCATAACCATTTTTAAAAATGCATTTGTTTTCTTAACCTGTGTGCCTTGAGGGCATCACCATGCTGAATCTGAGACGACAATGGAGAAGGATAAAACTGTCTTCTTTTTCAACTATATTACATGAAGAATGGAGAAGAATATATTTGTAGCAATTTAAACTGTTGAAGTATTTTTACAGCAAATATCTACCTTCACAGTTGCATTATAAAATATATTGATATATTACACATTCACTTTTTTTTATCACCAAAATTTGTATATATATAAATACTATGGGTTTGTGTCTCTGTGTGTATATATGCTACACGCACACACACACACACTGAATGCAGTGCTCTTGTGTTTGTTTTCCCTTTTCCCAGGCCGTTTCACTTCATTTTCATCTGGGCTTTTACATACTTCAGTGCTTCAGCATACCTGCTATCATAGGCCATTACTTTCAATGATATGTTCTTTATATTTACTGCTATCTCTTAACAAAATTACATAAAACTCTTTGTAACTTGTCAATTCTTTTCCTACTCATCTCTCTACATGTGTAGCAAATCTTATGTTATACTGCCGTCATAGATGATCATTGCTCTATCATAATCTCCTCCCAAATTTCCTTGAGCTAAAACATTTTCCCTCTATCAACATATTTTTCCCATCAATTGTTTTTTCTTATTCTTATACTCTTCATTGACTAAATTATGATCATATTATTTATATCATTGCATATTTTTATTTACTACATCATTCTTTTAACAGCACACAGTATTCAGATAATGAATGTACTGCAATTTATTAAGTCCCATTGGCAAATATTTAGACTTCAATTTTTTCCTTTATAAACTGCATCAAGTTTTCCAGATTACATATCTGTGCATCGGTGCCAGTATTCCTGGATAGTTGAGTTGCTAGACCACAAGGCCTGCACTTCAAAAATTGTCAGATATTGCCAAATTGCAGGATGGGGGTGGGGAGATGTATTGACTTGTACTCTACATTCAGCTGTGTTTATATTGGAAAAGTATGTCAAGAATCTTGAAAACAGTTAAGTTATGGCCCAAATCCAGCATTTCTATGTCTGAGAAATTTATCTTAAGGCAATAGACCTACAAAAATGTACATACAAAGAGGACACAAACAGATGGAGAAATATACCATGTTCATGGATTGGAAGAATCAATATTGTCAAAATGGCTATACTACCCAAAGCAATCTACAGATTCAATGCAATCCCTATCAAGCTACCAAAGGTACTTTTCACAGAACTAGAACAAATAATTTCACTATTTGTATGGAAATACAAAAAACCTCGAATAGCCAAAGTCATCTTGAGAAAGAGGAATGGAACTGGAGGAATCAACCTGCCTGACTTCAGACTATACTACAAAGCCACAGTCATCAAGACAGTATGGTACTGGCACAAAGACAGAAATATAGATCAATGGAACAGAATAGAAAGCCCAGAGATAAATCCATGAACCTATGGTCACCTTATCTTCGACAAAGGAGGCAAAGATATACAATGGAACAAAGACAACCTCTTTAACAAGTGGTGCTGGGAAAACTGGTCAAGCACCTGTAAAAGAATGAAACTAGAACACTTTCTAACACCATACACAAAAATAAACTCAAAATGGATTAAACATCTAAATGTAAGACCAGAAACTATAAAACTCCTAGAGGAGAACATAGGCAAAACACTCTCCGACATAAATCACAGCAGGATCCTCTATGACCCACCTCCCAGAATATTAGAAACAAAAGCAAAAATAAACAAATGGGACCTAATAAAACTTAAAAGCTTTTGCACAACAAAGGAAACTATAAGCAAGGTGAAAAGACAGCCCTCAGATTGGGAGAAAATAATAGCAAATGAAGCAACAGACAAAGGATTAATCTCAAAAATATACAAGCAACTCCTCCAGCTCAACTCCAGAAAAATAAATGACCCAATCAAAAAATGGGCCAAAGGACTAAACAGACATTTCTCCAAAGAAGACATACAGATGGCTAACAAACACATGAAAAGATGCTCAACATCACTCATTATCAGAGAAATGCAAATCAAAACCACAATGAGGTACCATTACATGCCAGTCAGGATGGCTGCTATCCAAAAGTCTACAAGCAATAAATGCTGGAGAGGGTGTGAAGAAAAGGGAACCCTCTTACACTGTTGGTGGGAATGCAATCTAGTACAGCTGCTATGGAGAACAGTGTGGAGATTCCTTAAAAAACTGGAAATAGAACTGCCATATGACCCAGCAATCCCACTTCTGGGCATACACACAGAAGAAACCAGATCTGAAAGAGACATGTGCACCTCAATGTTCATCCCAGCACTGTTTATAATAGGGAGGACATGGAAGCAACCTAGATGCCCATCAGCAGATGAATGGATAAGGAAGCTGTGGTACATATACACCATGGAATATTACTCAGCCATTAAAAAGAATTCATTTGAATCAGTTCTAATGAGATGGATGAAACTGGAGCCCATCATACAGAGTGAAGTAAGCCAGAAAGATAAAGACCATTACAGTATACTAACACATATATATGGAATTTAGAAAGATGGTAACAATAACCCTATATGCAAAACAGAAAAAGAGACACAGATGTACAGAACAGACTTTTGGACTCTGTGGGAGAAGCCGAGGGTGGGAAGTTTCAAGAGAACAGCATCGAAACATGTATATTATCTAGGGTGAAACAGATCACCAGCCCAGGTTGGAAGCATGAGACAAGCGCTCGGACCTGGTGCACTGGGAAGACCCAGAGGGATCGGGTGGAGAGGGAGGTGGGAGGGGGGATCGGGATGGGGAATACATGTAAATCCATGTCTAATTCATGTCAATGTATGACAAAAACCAGTACAATATTGTAAAGTAATTAGCCTCCAACTAATAAAAATAAATGAAAAAAAAAAGAAAAATCTACATAAAAGATAGTCAATCCAGCATTATTTAAGTAAAAAAAGGAAACCACCTTTACATGAATGTTCATGGCAGCTTTATTTGTAACATCTAAAAACTAGAAACCATCCAGATGTTCTTCAACAAATGAATGGCTAAATAGTTATGAGTGGTTAAACATTCATACCATGAACATTACTCAGCTATTAAAAGGAATGCCCTATTGATTACATGCAACAACATGAATGAAGCTCCAGAGTGTTAATGGTAAGTGAAAAAAATCAATCACAAAAGGTTACATACTATATGATTCCATTTATATAAAATACTTAAACTGACAAAATTATAGCAACAAAGAGAACAGATCCTGATTGACAGAAATCTTGGTGGGCAGGGTAGAGTGAGGAGGAAGGAGATGGGTGTAGCTATAAAGAGGCAATAGTAACGATCTTCATGGAGATAGAAATGTTTTGTATCTCAACTGTATAAATGTCAAATGCTGCAAGTTGTTACCACTGGTGAAAACCAAGGTAAAAAGTACTTTGGTGTCTCTGTATTGTTCCTTATAATTACATGTGAATCTACAATTCTCTCAGCATGAGAGATTGTTTAGTTTAACTAAAGATTGATAGTTTAACTAAAACTAAATTTTAAAAGCAGGATAGGGAGAAAAAATAAGTCATAGTCAAGGTTAAGAAGCACTGCTCTGAATGCTGTCACTGACTCAGTTATAAAAGCATAAAGAGCAAATGATTTGGGGTTTGTAGAATGGATGCACCGAAACGACATAAAAAGTGAGGTCTATAGGCAGAAACAGAGGAGAGAATTGGAGCAATGCAGGAAAAGTGTCCAGGGCCCTGTGATTTCATGAAAAAGCTTGGATGTGTGGGTGGGGACTATCCATGGATCTTAGTTACATTTCCCCCAATACAACTTCCACCTAAGAAGGTAGGTGGGTTATTGCCATTCCCTGTCTACAAATGATAAAGCTGAGGTTCACCGAAGTTACATAAGCTGCCCAAGATCACATGACTACTTTGTGACAATATGAGAATTAATAATTCCACACTTTTACTTAGCTTTGGCTTAAATAAAAATTTAAAAAACGCAATATCTTACTAAATTATAAAGGCATAGAAAATTGAACATCTCATAGTTCAAACTGATGTTCTCTAGGTATTTGAATTAACCTCTGAGAACATAAAGAGTCTCAAAAATATATATATAGGACAAAGTTAAAAATGTATTTCTTTCTTTTTTTTTAGGTCACACTGTGCAGCATGCAGGATCTTAGTTCACCAACCAGGCCTCAAACCTGCGCCTCTACATTGGGAACACAGTCTTAATCACTGGACTGCTAGGAAAATCCCTAAAACATATTTCTTTGAAATATTCTCTAGACCCCTGTCAGTTAAATACACATAAAGGTAAAATGTTTACACAAATACTTCAGCTTTTAGAGAAAGTAAGTTAAGTTAGTATGAAAGAACATTTAAAAATAATTATTTAACTTCATGACTCAGGGAACTCAAACCAGGACTTTGGTACAACACAGAGGGGTGGGAAGGGGTGGGAGCTGAGAAGGGAGGTTATAGAAGGAGGGGACACATGTATACCTATGGCTGACTCATGTTGATGCATGGTAGAGACCAACACAATATTGTGAAGCAATTTTCCTTCAATTAAAAATAAATAAGTTTGGGGGAAGAAAAGTACATAAAGCACTTCTAAGCAAGACAGAAGATAAAAACTATATGACAAAGGTTCAAAACGGAAAAAAGTTATTCATACTGACCTAGTTCAACAGGTTTTTCCAGATGCAGCAAAGACAGATCATCATTGGGAGGAAATTGTGTGAAGCTGGGGTGAATGTACACAGCTTTCACTGGTATCAAATCACTATTTCTTATATTCCCCAGGTAACTTCTTCCTATTACCAGGTAGTCTGTGACAGTACTTGTCACAAGAAAAGGGAGTGAGGAAATAGATTCCACTTTTAATTAGGCCATCATTTCTCAGAATTACTAAAAATATATTCTTTTACATTTCTAACCCACATTAAAATCCTTATTACCTTGAATTCTTAGGAAGCAGAGGTTTCTTATTAATTCAGCCCTTGAGAAAAATTTTAAAGTGTCTACTTCCTTGTCTTCATAATGTCAGATAAAACAATTCAGTATTTTTTATTACAATTAATATTCATGCTGCCTCAATGTAATAATCATATGTATTATAATCATAATATTATGCATTATATGATATACTTATGTAATGGTCACTGAAACTATTCTGAAAGTTATATTTACTCCCTAATACAGTGTTTCTCAAAGAAATGTCTAGGGATCACATGCATTAAGTCTAGCACAGGTATTAAAAGTGCAGAATTCCAAACATAACTTATCAAATCGAAATTCAGAATTAGTACTCTAAGATTCCATTTACAGCAAACTCCCCAGGTAATTTTAAGCACATGAAAGTCTGAAACTGTCTTAATAAGGATGCCTTCTTATGATTTACCTGTATCAAAATTAAGAGTTGGGGGATAGTATAGATACTGAGTTTTTAGTTCACTGAAGGCTCATGACCACCACATTATTTGATTAGATGCTTTTATTGTAAAGCCAATCTAGAGACACTGAAAATGTTGCATCTACTTGTTCAGATATGGGACACTGTTCAACAGCATCAGCTGTCATGCTACTTCTGGGAGATAATACTAAAAACGTCAAACTAAGTCTCCTCTGAGGGAGTTTTCAGACATCTCCGTATCATATTAAGATCAAAGGTCAGATAAAATCAAAGAAAACAAACGTTCCTTTTTTAAAGGACATTCCTTGAAACTCTTTCACACTTTACAGATTTATTTTGGGACTGGGCATGCTGTAGCTGAAACTCCAATACTTTGGCCACCTCATGCGAAGAGTTGACTCATTGGAAAAGACCCTGATGCTGGGAGGGATTGGGGGCAGGAGGAGAAGGGGACGACAGAGGATGAGATGGCTGGATGGCATCAGTGACTCAATGAACATGAGTTTGAGTAAACTTCTGGAGTTGGTGATGGACAGGGAGGCCTGGCGTGCTACGATTCATGAACTGAACTGAACTGATGATCATCAGACAATCCATAGGAGAGTAAGAAGGAAAGGAAGCCATGTATGAGCAACCCCTGGGCTCTAGGCTCCGTGCTGAGAAACTGATGCAAAAGTGTGAGATCTCCATTTTTATGATTGGAAGGGAGGGTGTTGTTAGTTACTTACTAATTAAATTATACTTAGAAGCAGAAAGCTGCTCTTAGAATTAAAAGCTATTAGAAGTAATTTTATTAGTGAAGCACAGAAAGTTTCATCAACCTAAGACATTCATTCACTTGCAAGTTGGGGACTGTATCAGTGGGAGCTGGTGCTTAATGTTTCTCATGATGTGGGGAGAGGAGGAGTGCACCCACCATGGGTCCTCAAATAGCTCCTCATCACCACCTGCCCCACCCCAGAAGCCCCACCCAGGCACGCACCTGAAGTTACAATGTGCCGCTGTCAGGACCCACTGCCTCCCAATCAGAGCCCCTCCACAGTAGTGACGTCCTTGGTGCTGCAGACTGACCAGCCAGGGCCACGACATCATAGGGGCTGCATGGCCACCAACCACCCTGGGCTCCCCGACCTCTGCAGACAAGAGATTTGTATTCCTCTCAAACCCTTCAGTGAGAAGAGGGTCAACAAGTGGAACTCCACACGAGTCTTGAGCTGGCTGTCTTCTGGTATTGTTTTCTACTGTGAAAGTGAAAGTGAAATCACTCAGTCGTGTCCGACTCTTTGTGACCCCAGGTTCCTCTGTCCATGGGATTTTCCAGGCAAGATTACTGGAGTGGGTTGCCATTTCCTTCTCCAAAGCCCTTAGAAAAAAAGAACAGCAAAACATTAGATAGCAATACTTATGAAGATCTATTTAAATCTCAGAAGGCATTTATTCTTTTTGTCGGTTCAAAACTAGCATTATTTGCAAGATATGAGACTCATCTTTTCTTCCAATGCTTTTAAATGAGCAAAAGTCAACAGTTTACTAAGGTACTAATATACACACCATGTTAATATACTCATATTAATACACATATATTTTGATGAATTGGAACATAAATCAACTTTTTAAAAAATAAATAAAAATGTTGCAATTAATCATGAAATTATTGGAGACTGTTCTTTCTGTAGCATCATTTGTGTTATCCCAGTACATATATTTAGACACATCAAAATATTTTATGCTCCGTGTATTCAAAATAAGTTGTATATATGAAGGAAAACCATAAGGAAAATTTATAGCAATATGTTTACTCCATTCTCAGATTTAAAAAGAAATTTACCAGAAAGTAAAAAGAGACAGTTAAGCATTTCCTTAAATATGAAGAAAGCTAAATTTTTCCATAATCTTATAATTTTGGAGTGATAGGATATATTCCCAACCCAGGGATCAAACCCAGGTCTCCTAAGATATGCTCTCTTGTTAATTCTTTACTTGAGATTATTTTTTACACCAGAAAGCTATTTAAAACAAAAAGTTTATAGCACAGTGGATTTGTACTTGTTTATTCAATACTTAAATAAAATCATTTCTACTTTCTTTTCAGAAATGTATAAAACATGGATTCCCTCTTCCTTTAAAAATATGCAAACTCTTCAAAATTAAGACTATCCTGGACTTTTGGGGGAAAAAACCCACAAAAGGTATTTACTCAAACATGTTTTTTATGCATTAAGTTCACTGCATTACTATATGTTTTTATTGCATTGTAATCCACATTTTATATGGTAACTCAGATTTTTGGGCTGTTTGTATACATGCATAATAGCAATATTTTATTAGTATTCAACTTACTTTACAATACTTTAAAAAAGAAATGAGGCTAGATATTTTTACTGTGAGAATAAAGGGTCAGTTTAAGGATATAGCAATGAAAAAACAAAAGCAATGGACACAGAAGAAGGGTCAATTAGGTGAGCAGGTCTTTAACAATTAAAAATCACATCTATAGGGGGCTTTCTTAGTGGTCCAGTGGTTAAGACTGTGCTTCAATTGCAGGGTGCACGGGTTTGGTCCCTGCCTGGGTAGGGAACTAAGATGCCACATGCCTTGTGGCACAGCCAAAAAAAGAAAAAAAATCACACCTATAGGACAATGTGCTTCACTAGTCTAGGACTCAAATTCAGGGCTCTTAGGAGAGACTATTCATTTCACCATCCTAAGAAAAATTGTTGTTGCTTAGTTACTAAGTTGTGTGGCAACTCTTTGTGATCCCATGGACTGTAGCCCACCAGACTCCTCTGTCCAGAGGATCTCCAGGCAAGAAATACTCAAGTGGGTTGACATTTCCTTCTCCAGGGGATGTTTCCAACACAGGGGTAGAACCCATGTCTTGAGTCTCTGGCACTGGCAGGTGGATTCTTTACCACTAGTGCCACCTGGAATCTTAAGATAGAGTGTCATAAAAAGAAAAAAAAACTTTGCATTCATGTGAATTAACCACTAGAGCCACCTGGAATCTTTAGATAGAGGGTCATTAAAAAAACAACAACTTTGCATTCATGTGGATTATTTGAATTTTCCTGCTGTTACACTCTAATCAAGAAGATCTCCTAATAATAGATTCATTAGGTTTAGTCTTAAGCACAACTAATGGAACTCTAGCTTAAAATTAGATAGACTAAGTAGGAAAAAATCAGTACATTTGTTTCTATTTTATGCAGAAAAGTTAGTATATCTGAAATAGTTTGAGGGCTCTTCCTGGTGGTGAGGAGACAGTTACTTAATAAAAGAGATATGTAAACAAAGACATGGAAACACATTGCACTCTCCTCTTGTTTCAGCTTGAAAGGCCCCACAGGATCTTTTAAATAGCAACTGTCTTTCATGTTTATTATTTCTTAATTAAAAACAACATACACACATATAGACATGTACACACCCCAATTAACTTTATTACCTCACATGATCTATGTGAACTGCCAAGTTTCAGTCCTTAAGAAATGGTTTGAAATGAGTTTATCCTTTTTTAGTATTAGAGTAAAGTGATTGCCACTGATCCCTAAACCAGTGGGCTCCAGGTCCTGTTTTAAGGCATATATGGTACCTGCTTTAGTAGATATTTTAAAACAATTACTTACCATTAATAGGCAGTTGGATCCCAATATTGCTTTTCTGTGATGGCTTCTGAGTCATATCTTCCAAAATCAGTTTAAAACCTCTTTCTCCCACAGACTCATCAGTTTTCAAGTTCACAGTTAGGTAAGCACCACTGGATATCCAGACAAATTCTTTCTTGGAGCCACATAAATGAGCTGCAATGTGAGATATACTCGATAATCAAAATACTTCTTCTGTGTAATTACATAGGTAAAAGAGGGAGAAGAGAGGGGACATTAAATTCCAAACAAATCTTGACAAAAGAATGATTATCAATAATAGAAGATCAAGATTTTGAGGATGAAATTCATGACTTGATTGAGACAATAAAAGGGTATAGATTTTAAAAGATCAAAGGGAAAAGACTGGGCTAGCAATTGATATGGAAACAATATAAATTTGTGTGGCAATCTTTGATTATAAGGATGGTTAAAGAAGCATTTCAATGAAGATAAATGGACAGAGAAATGGAAGTAATGGGATACCATTATGGACCAAATGTTGGTGTGCCCTCAAAATTCATATGTGAAAATCCTAATCCCCAGTGTGACGGTATTAGGAGGGGTGGCCTTTGGGGGTGATGTGGTCATGAGGGTGGAACCTTATAAACCCTTATAAAAGAGAACCCAGAGAGCTCTCTAGCTCCCTTTTTTGTCTTGTGGGGAAATAGCAAGAAGACAGCTATGAACCAGGAAGCAAACCCTCACCAGACAGCAAATCTTGAACTTCTAGTCTTCATAACTGTGAGAAATAAATACTTGTTATTTAAGCTACCCAAACTAAGGCATTTTTATTATAGTAGCTAAAACTAAGACATGTAGTCTGCCGAAATACAGACTAATGATGGTCCTTTCCTAATACAGAAACTCAAAAGTTGTCACAAAGATTGTGCTGATAAGTGACAGGACATTTGCTGTAATTTATCTGTACAAGCTGTAACTGAGATTCTCTCAAACTAAATGATACACTATTGATTTGTCTTAAAGATAATGTTTCTTGAGGAATCTGAGAAAGAGAGATGGGGAATAGGAGAAAGTTTCTCTCTATATCATTCTTATACTTGAAGAATCTGTTTGGTGAACTGGGTGTGGTGGGTAGCTTTGGGGAGGCACCATGTCAAATAAAGGCAATCTGTGTAAAGTCAACTAACACTCTGGAAGTTTTAACATAATGAAAATGTGAAAATGTTATTCTGCTTTTCAAAAAGGAGATTGAGGGTTGGCAGAGGGGGAAGGGTAGGAGACCGAGAAAAACAAAGAGGCTAAAGGATCTGCAAAGTCACATCAGTGAAGTAGTGTAGCTTAGTCCTTACAGGTTCAGATTCCAAGTCAAACTGCTAGTCTGGACTATTTCTATGAGCTCTGTGGCCCAAGGCAAGTCATTTAACCTCTCTGCCACAATTTTCTCATTTGTATAACTTAGACTAAAAAAAAATATGGGATTATATGAAGTTATATTTATGAAGCATTATAAACATTTACTAACTAACAAAACCTCAGTAAAATGTTATAGCAAATTATTAGGTGGTTTTTGAACACTTTAAGAAGGAATTAGTGGTCATGAGCAACTAGCATGGGATCCTCAACATGCCATATTAAATTAACCTAATTTAATTTTTGGAAAGAGCTAATTAGATGGTGGCTAGGGGGAATGAGATAAACTTAATGAATTTTGATTTCAGTGGAGCACTTAATAAAGTACCTTATGATGTCCCTGTGAACAGATATAAAGTATAAGTGGATAATTATATGACTAGGGAGCTTCACAGCTGATTAAGTAACCATACAACGTTAACCTGAAGGGAAGATCTGATGGGTATGAAAATAGTTCCACCCTCAGTTCTGCCAAGTACAGTACTGCTGTTAATGGCTTAGGTAGAAATACAGATAACACATTTACAAAAGGTGTAGGTTTGAGATGGGCAGCTGAATGAGAAGTAAAGAACTAGGTCAAATATAGAATCTTAGTGATAATTTAATCTTTCATCTAGCACTGAGTTCCTTCTAAAATAACCTTGGACATATGTTAGCTGGATTTGAAGATATTATGTGGAACTTATGAGCATTTATTTTCTCTTTTTAAACAGTTCTAATTGCTTGACAGTTCTTCCCTATGTTGAATCAAAAGGCATCAGTGTAACCATATGGTTAACTGATGGCCAAGGATATAAATGCTTGAATCAGAGTGCCTGGGCTTTAAACCAGCTTTCTTTACTTATTAATTATGTTCCCAGAGGCAAGTTAATCAAGATTTTTGTGTTTCCTTATATTTAAAATGAGGATAACACAGCCTACCTCCATAGGACTGTTAAGAAGATTAAGGCGAAGGTGGGATGTTTCAAGAGAACAGCATCGAAACACGTATATTATCTAGGGTGAAACAGTTCACCAGCCCAGGTTGGGTGCATGAGACAAGTGCTCGGGCCTGGTGCACTGGGAAGACCCAGAGGGATTGGGTGGAGAGGGAGGTGGGAGGGGGGACCGGGATGGGGAATACATGTAAAAAAAAAAAAAAAAGATACACTATGGTTGTGATAAAAAATAAATAAATAAATAAATAAAATAAAATAAAATAAAAAAAAAGAAGATTGAGTTATAAGTTCTCAGGACTATGCATGAATAATGGTAAACATTCCATAACTATTAGATATTATTAGGCAGAACACGTTTTATACATGGCTGAGAGTCTATGGAAATTCCATAAATACTTGAAGAGGAGAAATTGTGATCCTGCTGTCTTCTCTCTTCTCTAAGATAAACATTCCCAGGTGTCCACACCCTTCAGCACCCTGATCATTATGTTCTATGGATGTGTTCCAAATTGTTAGTGTTCCTTAAAATTGTTGCTTGACCAAAGATGATATTTCAAAACCAGTATGTCAGGGACAACAACCAGACAGACTGGATATTTACAATGAAGACTCGTGAGACCAAGTTAGTGAACGCCAGCTCAGTGCCAACACTAAATTTAACCCTACAAGGGACCTTACCTCTTTTGTCATAATTCTTTACTAACAACACTGTGTTGAAATTTTGGAATCATTTGAGACTTTTGAAATTTGATTTCAGACATTCTGCTTCCCAAATTACCGCTTTTATGTATCCTAATCTATTAGTATTCCCTTGCTATAACTGATCTCTCCATGACTTCTTACCCATAATCCCACAAACTATGTATATTCATCATTCTCTAAGGAAGTGAGAGATTTTACTGTAAAGGGAAGCAGAGAAATGGGGCAACAGCTAACTTTCTTGTTCTATTTTGATTTTAACTATGGGTAATAGTAGAATATGTTTGAAACTGATGAGAATGATAGAGGAGAGTGATGATGTCAGAGAAAGAATAACTAAAGGAAATTTATGACAAGCTGATAACTCTCAAATCTATATCTTAAGTCCAAACTTCAGGAGTTCTACTTCTAGCTCCCTACTGCCAACTCAACCTTAGATGTATCATGGCATTTAAAATTTAACATGACCCAAATAGATCTTTCACCACAAATCCATTTCTCCCTCTCATATTTCCCATCTCTGTAAATGCCACCACCTCTGAAAACTTCCTACTATAAACTTAGGAGCCCTTCTTGATCTGCAGATCTGATTTCACATTTATTCCATCAAGGAAGCCTATCAGTTCTCCAGATCTGTCCATTCTACCTGCATTCCCTTGTTGCCATCCTCTTGCAAGGCAACATTACCTATTACCTGCTGCTGCTAAGTCGCCTTAGTTGTGTCTGACTCTGTGCGACCCCATAGATGGCAGCCCACCAGGCTCCCCTGTCCCTGGGATTCTCCAGGCAAGAACACTGGAGTGGGTTGCCATTTCCTTCTCCAATGCATGAAAGTGAAAAGTTCAAGTGAAATCACTCAGTCTTGTCTGACTCTTTGTGACCCCATGGACTGTAGCCTACCAGGCTCCTCCATCCATGGGATTTTCCAGGCAAGAGTACTGGAGTGGGTTGCCATTTCCTTCTCCCTACCTATACCTAAACAGTACTAAAAGAACATTCTGCAATGATGGGAAGTTCAATATGAGTGCTGTCCAGTATAGTAATTGTTCACTACATGTAGCAGTTGAGCAGTTGAAGTGTGGCTAATACTACATTCCATTTCATTTTAAAATTTGAATTTAAATAACAACATGGGTTAGACAGGATATGTCTAGATTATCATAATAGCCTCATAACTGCAGGTGTAATTCACCCTGACAAGGGGAGAAGGGATAGTGAGGGAGTTTGGGGTGGACATGTACACACAGGTATATTTAAAATGGATAACCAACAAGGACCTACTGTATAGCACATGGAACTCTGCTCAATGTTCTGCAGCCTGGATGGTAAGGGTGTTTGAGGGAGAATGGATACACATATATCTATGGTTGGGCTTCCCTTGTAGCTCAGTCAATAAAGCATCTGCCTGCAATGCAGGAGACCTGGGTTCGATTCCTTGGTCAGGAAGATCCCCTGGAAAAGGAAATGGCAACACACTCCAGTATCCTTGCCTGGAAAATCCCATGGGCACAGGAGCCTGGCAGGTTACAGTCTATGGGGCCACAAGAGTCAGACACGACTGAGCGACTAAACACACATATATATGACTGAGTCTCTTCACTGTTCACTTGAAACTATCACAACATCATTAATATATTATTCGGCAATACACAATAAAAAGTTTTTTTAAAAAAATAATTCACTTGTCACTCTAAAATCCACTCCCGACATGGCAGCCACAGCAGCTCTCAAATTAGTTCCTTGTCCAAAACCTTTAATGACCTCCCACTGGATGGGAATAAAGTCCACTCATTACAATAACCTGAGCTGCATGACCTGAGGGCAAAACCTTCACCTTCTACAACCTCACCTCATTCCAGTCTGTCCTCACCCAACCTCTAGCCACTCTGACAGTTCCCCAAGTTACCAAACTCTTCCCATATTCCAGGCCTTTTTTTCATTTATTTTTTCATCAAATATTTATTTTCAGGTAGTACTTTAGACATTGGAGATAAAGCAATGAACAGGAGATTAAGTTCTGTTATCACGATATTTTCATTATGGTGGAGAAAAACAGATTCTAAACAAATAAACATACATGCTGCCAGGTCATGATTAATGCCAAGAAGGAGAAGTGTAAGAGGATTATTTAGATGATGTGATATAAGAGGCCTTAGATTATGTAATATTTGGACAGATACCTGAACAAACTAAGGAAGTGAATCTTGAAGTCACGTTGGGGCCAAGCAAGAATATGCTCAGTTAGTCCAAGGAAGAATAAAGAAGCCAGTGTGCCTGGTTTTGGGTGAAGGAGAAGGAGAACAGTAGGAGGTAAGGTCAGACCTGAGGTACTAGACACCTTTGCACATGCTATCTTGGCCTTGCCTCACTGTTTCCTTGTCATTCTTTGGATCTCAAATGCACCCCTTCAATGAGGCCTTCCATGACCATCTTAACTAAAGCAACTGTGTACCCACTATCATTCCATACTGCTGCTGCAACTAATTTCCTTCAGACTATGTTGACATAGGGCTTCCTTGATAGCTCAGTTGGCAAAGAATCTGCCTGCAATGCGAGAGACCCCGGTCAATTCCTGAATTGGGAAGATCCGCTGGAGAAGGGAATGGCTACACAATCCAGTATTCTTGGGCTTCCCTGGTGGCTCAGCTGGTAAAAGAATCCACCTGCAATGTGGGAGACCTGGGTTCAATTCCTGGGATGGGAAGATCCCTTAGAGGAGGGCATAGCAACCCAATCCAGTATTCTTGCCTAGAGAATCCCCATGGACAGAGGAGCCTGGCAGGCTACAACCAATGGGGTCGCAGAGAGTCAGACATGACTGAGCAACTAATCACAGCACACATGTTGACAATCAGTAATTATTTGATAATTATTTATTGTTAAATACTATTATTAGTTTTTTAAAATTTATTATGTCTTTTCAGAAGAAGGTGGCAATGATCACTTCTGAACTGTTCATCATTGTGTCTTCAAGATGTCTAACACATTAGAAAATGCTCAGTCATGAATTAATCTGACATGTACATTTAATATGGTGTTAACTAGTTACTGATGTCTTACCTTTATGGGGTAAATGAAAGAATGAAGACCAGATGAACCTTAATTTTGCTAATTATTTTCATTAATATATTGTAAAACCATTGCAATGAAACCAATCTGGAGGCTGTGTACCATTCCATCTCAGAAATAATTAAAAAGTAGCTAAAAAATAACTCTCTAAGTGAGAAAATATTCAGTAAGAAAAGATAACTGAGACAATATAGACAATGTGGATCCATATTTGGGCTAGCTTTTCTCACCAGCTGGGAGAATAGCAATAGGGTTCAATGTTCAACAGTTTAACAATGCTTATAAAATTGCATATTTCACTGAACTAAAACTATTGTAAGTATATAAAATTATATGAAATAAAACTGTGTAAACTAGCAAACTAATGGTAGTGGCCTCACTTTTATGTAGAATTGTATAAGCTAATTATAGAAACACAAGTTGTTACATTTTTAATGTTTTTACCCATGAATTTTTGATTAATGAGAACTTTTAAAGATGAATAATGTTGCCAGGTTGAAAAATAGTAGAGTGAGAAATAGGAAAGCAGCCCTGACATCCAGAAACTGGTCCAGTACTCACAACTGAACCAGAGTCTCCTGTTAGATACAAACAATCTCACCGGACACCAACATCAGATTGTCTCTGAATCTGTGATGAGACAAAAACAAGGTCATCTGTAACCAACAAAACACCAAACACTGACCTCTCGGCTAAAATGAAGAGTTGCTACTTCTTTACCAATTACAGTTTTACCCATACTCTAGTCACGCCTAATCATAAATTTGCCCCACTTTCTCACCCACTTCCTGCAAGCAATCTAGAGCAACTTTCACTTCCTCAGTGTGTGTGTGCTCAGTCATGTCCAACTCTTTGCCACCCCATGGATTGTAGCCCATCAGGCTCCTCTGTCCATGGAATTTCTCAGGCAAGAATACTGGAGTGAGTGAGTTGCCATTTCCTTCTCCAGGGGATCTTCCTGGCCTTCCCAATTGAACCTGCATCTGCATCTCCTGCATTGACAGGCAGATTCTTTACCACTGCACCACCTGGTAAGCCCTTCCGCTTCCCTAGAACTTAGGATTTGGGCTTTGAATGGGTAATTTTGAAGAAAGTCCACTTCCCTAGACCTTCTCCAAAATTACTCATTCAAAACCCAAATCCTATAATAGGTTCTTTCTACCATCCTATTAACACTCCATGGTTTTCAAGGGTATGTGTTTTCCTTTTCCACAATGAGTAATAAATCCAACTTGCTCAATTCCAGGTGTGTTCCAAGGGTCTTAGGCTGCAAGGCATTCTGGAGAATTATACCAGATAATTCTGGATCTGATACCATAGATAATTCATATTAATCTTATGGAGAACTAATAGCTTGATATTTTGTGTCTCCACCACCTCTATATTCTAATCGCTCTAGAATCCTTGGCAGGAGCCAGACTTACTGATAAGAAAAAATTTAAGTAGCTTTGGAATTTCAGAGTACATTGCTAAACTTATTGGTGTTATAAATCCTAGACTATCACATGAGTGGTTAAGGTCTTTGTAAAAACATAGCATCAAACCTCTTCTCCTGTCCTTTGTGATAGGTGGATTGTAGTGGCATCCTGATTGGCAGAACTGGTTGGAAATTAGAGAATGGGATACAATATTGAGTTACAAAATCTTTGGAAAAGTTCCCTCTATGAGTCAGTCTCAGGACATTGTCTGACATTCAAACATAGTAGACATCATGTGGTCAATAAATCTCTAAAGATTATTCAAGTTAATTGGCTTTTTTTTTTTTAATTTACTTTGGATCTAAAGAGAGCTACCTTTATTGTGAGGATGAAATCTGAGTAAACAAATTTTCAAAGCTGCCTAAAAATGCAGTTTAGGCAACAGAAACTCTTCAAATATATGACTTCCTGAGAAAAACAAAATTAGTGTGCTCTCTGATGATAAAATGAGATAGGGATCACTGAAATCAAGAAAACCTGGAATTAAAGGTGAAGAACCATTGAGTGTGGTCTTATGCTCATCCCATTGTGTTCAATAATATTCAGGATTCTGATGAAAGATCTGATGGAAAGTCTCTGACAGCAAATGATATTGCTCCCAAAGCAAATGTAGATCATGTTTGCCATATATATAATTATATAAATGCTCATATGAATGCTCCTCAACATAGGACATTTAAGAAGGTTCAGTTTACCAAGTAATCTTGATTGCTGATCTGGTCCATCATAGATATTGAAATAATCCCATTCACAGTTCCAAGATTCTTCCATTATAAAATCTTTAATCAATGCCTTCATTTTATTTCCAGACATAGAATAAAAAGTCCAGGTGCAGTTCAACTTATTAGGATAAATGTTAGGATAATTGGGAGATGTGATCTCAAAAGAATTAACTGCAATCAGATCCAATATTGGACACCCTTAAGGCAAAAAGAAAAAAATATTGTATGCAACAGTCAAAGAGCTGAGTTACTACTTTTTGGATCTGGTTTTAATGTCTACAACAGGTATTAAAACCTTAAACTGCAGTGTACTTATATTAAGTTATATTAATATAATATTTGTTATAAATATAATTATTATAATAATAACAATTATATATAATTATATTTATATAATAAACATTTATACAAAACATTGTATTTTTATAATAAATATTACAATTAATATTGTAATAATAATTATAACTATGTATATAATATAGTATATTATATACTGTTTCTTTACTTCCATAGCTCCTTATATATGATAACACAGGGTATAAATGAGTTTTGTTTTGAGAAACTGACCCTTCCTAAAAGAAGACAAAGTTCTTTGACTTTAACTCACAAACTATGAACCACTAAGTCACCCATATATACATTGTGATGTAGCTTTGTTGCTTATCTTTAGCACGCAGTCTTCTAAATCCCTGAGTAAATTACATACTCCTAAAATTCAGCCTATACTAAAAATTATAATCATTTATTTGGTAAGGAAATTTGGATCACTCTCAGATAGTTGAAATCAGGATATTAAGGTTCACAGGGGCCAAGAAGCTACTGCACCAAGAAGAGAACGAGGAATTTAATGACATTTTGAATTTACTCCAAATGCTCTAGGTGTTATTCAGTATAAAATTAATGCCACCCCCAAAGTGATTTACTTCATCAATAATCTTGTCATTTTAGTTAACTGTGCAATGGCCCAACAAAAAGAGAGGGTGAGGGGTGTCCAAGGACAATCCAGAGGACATAAAGTATATGGAAGGAATGTTAATGAATAACAGAGTTAAAATAGGGGGATCTCATAAATAAAACATGTATTTCTTACACAGTAATCAGATAAGGTGCTACCTTCTTACTCTCTACTCCCTGATCTGCCCTAGGTCTCCACTACCTCCAAAGTTTGACACTCAGAAAATTGATATAAGTTCATTATCTCATTATAAAGCAAATAGAATAAGGACACAACACTTAGAAGTCTTTGATAGCAGCCAGAGTATACTTATTCCTAAACAGTGTTTAGCAGAAGGAAATTCCTCACTCTATTTCTATAATATCAAGTAATCAAAGGCAGATCAACAAAGCCAATTCCTTACCTCCTTTATCCTCTTTAACATTAACTTTAATGTTTCCTTTCATGGAACCTAGAATAAGAGAATTCTGAAGGTCAGTATATCGTAATTCATATTTTATATTTTTTATTCTTTCGTTTAAGTGATACACTTACATTGGAGAAAATTTCCAAAAGACAGATTTCAAAAAAGGAAATAAAGTCACCTGTAATCCCATCCTACAAGTAACCAATACTCATATTTTAATGTAAATCCTGCTTTTCCCTAAGCTATAGTATATACTTTTTAAAAACTGTATTTCACTTTACATCGTTATAACTTCTCCCAATTGTGAATATTTTTCCATATGACTAAATATTACACACACATTTTAATGGGTTTTATATTTCTTACTCATATAGATATTAATATTACAGTTTCCACTGATATATTTTGATTTGTAATCTCATGAGTATGAATGATGAGTCAGACCTTTTAAAAAATACTTATTTATTTTTGGCTATGCTGGGTCTTTGTTGCTGCGTGGGCTTTTGTCTAGTTGCAGTTCATGGGCTTCTCATCGTGGTGGCTTCTCTCGGTGTAAAGCATGGGCTCCAGGGCTCGCGTTTCAATAGTTGTGGCATGTGGGTTCAGTAGCTGTTGCTCCTGGACTCAAGAGCACAGGCTCAATAGTTGTGGTGTCCGGGCTTAGCTGCTCCATGCTATGTGGGATCTTCCCAGATCAGGGATCAGACTTGCATCTCCTGCATCAGCAGGCAAATTCTTTATCACTGAACCACCAGGGAAAGCAGAATGAGTCAGGTTTTTAACAAGCTTCACACACAGGGTGAACCTATAACATTTCTGCTATTGTTGGAAAAATGTCTGCACTAAAGGTTGTTTCTGTTTATCTGAAAACAGAAATTGAACACGTGTAAGAAGTCTTCTGTGTTGACTCCTACTCATTCTTTAGCTCTCAGCCAAAGGGATTTTCATAAGCAAGACAGATGTATTTCTTACTCATTTACTAGGTAAGGAGCTACTACCTTGCTGTCTGCTTGCTAATCTACCGCAGCTAGGATGTCATTTCCTTTACTCAAACAATTATTGAGCATCATCTATTTGTAGGCGTGGTTGTATGGTTTGGAGAGAACAGCAGGGGGGCTTGCTTGGTGTGGCTGGGGAAAATGATCGGAGAGGTAGTCAAGGAAGGAGCCAAGAGCCAGATCATACAGAATCTCATAGCGCACTGTGAGGCCGACGAAGAGCGAGCTGGGAACACACTGAAAGGTTTTAAGCAGAGGAATACCATGTGAATCATTCATTTTAAAACGATTATATTTTGGGGCCTCCCTGGTGGCTCAGTGGTGAAGGATCCGGCTGCCAACGCAGGAGACAGGCCCTTGGTCTGGGAAGATCCCACATGCTGAGGAACACTAAGCCTGTGCGCCACAACTGCTATGTTCTAGAGCCCCAGAGCTTCAACTATGTAGCCCAGATACCACAACTGCTGAAGACCCCTTGCCTGGAGCCTGTGCTCTGCAACAAGAGAAGCCACCGCTATGAGAAGCCCACACTACAGCCAGAGAAAAGTCCACGTAGCAAAGACCGAGTACAGTCAAATAATTAAACAAAAATTTTTTAAATATTTAAAAAATGATCATTCTGGCTGTTAAGAGTAAAACAGACTACGCAAAGGCTTGTATCAGAATGTTATGGTGGGATTGTTGAGAGGTAGTTGGATTCTAGATTAATTTTGCTGCAGGTCCATAGATGAACTAAATCTGATGACAGATGAGATAAGAAAAGTCAAGGATGAACAATATAACAGCTTGAACACTTATTTAGTAAACTGCATTTGCCATCTACTGAGGTGGGGAAGACTGGTGGAGGGAGAATCTGGAAACAGGTAGGAAATCAAGAGTTGCATTTTGGTCATGTTAAATTTGAGATACTTATTAGACACCCAAATGAAGAGGGAGGCAATTAGATATACAGTCCTGAAGTTCAAATTAGAAGTTGAGACTGGAGATATACTTTGAGTGTTATCTGTGTAAAAATGGTATTTAAAACAAGGGATTGGGTGAGATCACTTAAGAGTGAGTACAGGTAAAGAAGAAAACAGAGTCAAGGACTAGATCCCGGCACACCTCAACTTTTAATGGTAGGAAAAATGAGGAGCAACCAGCCAAAAGACTCTAAGACCAGTGAAGAAAGAGGACAGTCAAGTAACAGTGGTTTTCTGGAGGTCATGACAAATGAAATTCTAGAAGGAAGAAGAGGTCATCCACGCCAAATGCAGCTGTTATGACCGAGAAGTAACTGTCAGATCTGGACTTGTGGGGGTCACTGGTACCTTTGGCAAGAACACCATCTGGGGAAGGATAAGAAAGAAAGCCTTACAGGAATGGATTCAAGAAAAAGTGAAAGGGTAAAAGGGGAGAGAGTGACTAGAAATGCATTTGAAGGAGTTTCGCTATAACAGAACAAAGATTTCCCAGAATTCCATGCCCATCCTTTACCAAACTAAATAAGACCCCTCTGTCAAATCTTAATATAGTTGTTTTTTCACTGTATATTTTTCTGAGATTATTTGATTAGTTGACTGAAACAAAAATGCACAACATGAGAGCTATGAGTTTGGTTTCATTTAGGGTCTTACTGAGGGCTATATCCATGAGACAACCGCTCAGTACCTCTGGACAAGATGTTCCCAAAGAGGTAGGGGGTGAAGCCACTCTAAATGTCATTTTGGCTAGGGAGTATGGACAGTCAAGCACATGTCTTGAAAGAAGATTACTGTTAGTCACAAGGAACAGAGATCTCAAGCTAATGATTTTAGTGCTTTTACATGAAAATATGAAATCTGGGTTCATTAAAACTCTTCCTGAAATACGCATCTAGCTATGTAAGGGGCCTGCTTGTTCAAAGCACAGAGCATCCTGTTACCACCTTAATTTCCTCTCTCTGAAGCACAGAGTGCACTGTCTATCAGCTACTACAGTGGTTTAATCCTGGAAGAACTGGGTGATAAGCAACAGTCTCTGTCCTTCTCTGTTTATAGATTATTGACTATCTCCCTGCTAGACTGTCAACTCTTCTAGGGAAGGGACAGTCTTGCTCATCACTGAACCCTCAGTGCTTTAAACATGGTATAGCATAAGTTTAAAACCATTTGTTGATAATCTGAATAATTAAAAGCTTAAATAGTAAATTTGATTCTGTTTATGTTAGCTCCTTATGGTACACCTTTCACTTATGTAATTTGAATTTGATGCAAATCTTCGTTTTCTCCATCCAACATTTCTCACATTACCAACTAAGAAAGTAAATTTTTTTTGTAGAAATAACTCTCTAATTATATTCCAATCAACATTTTTAATGAATATTAATAGATAAATCTTAAGGACTAGAGCAACTCTAATGCTTAACTCAGAATTAAGCATAATTGCAAATGTTTTCTCTATAATACTCAATTTCCATAATTTGTACTAGTTCTCATTTTTCATAATGCTATCAGTGCCTTCGCTCAAACTATAGGAATGCTGGGCAAAGCATATTTGTCAATAATCTGGTTACAAATAATACATATGAACTATCCACCAAACAAGTTTTAAAAAAGGAATCAATTACTCTTGATATTAGTACATTAAGGAAACCAGTTTCAATATAGAAAAATTACTTGAAACTTTTAGGCTAGGGATAAAAATTCCTACTGTATTGTTAAAATGTTCCAAGTATACAGAAAACTAGACAGAATTATTAGGTACTATAATAAAAACTGAAAAATCTGATAAATTTTATAAAGGTTTTATAATAAAACCTTTATGAAGGTTTACTTTGATGCCTCCATAGATTATAGAAGTCACAACCTTAAATACTATCTTTTTCTTCTCTTCTAAAGCTTACAAATGAAATGAAGAACAAATTTCTTTATTTTATGACACATATTTTTCTAATAAAGCACAATAAAGCAAAAAGATAAAGATAAAAATATGAAAAAAGTAACAGACTTACCAGACATATGAAAAGAATATCTCAAAGAAAATTCTTCCATGGCCAAACTTGCATTGTATGTGAAAATCAACATCATAAGAGGACCATGAGATTTTAATGAAGGTGAATCTCTTTCACATAGATTTCCTAGCCAAAAAAAAAAAAACAACAACAAAACAACCCCACCCCCCGCAAAGCAACATTCTTACTATTCATCAAGGCAAAAGTTGTTGAGCAAAGTAAAAGGAAAAAATACTATTTTTAATACAAATTTATACTTTATCTACTACCAACAATTTAATAATGGGAAATTAAGCAAAACAAAACCAAATTAGAATAGATATGTTCTAGATTTCTGAGTGTAAGCAGTGCTAAGAAAGTGGTTCCAAACCAACTAGGACATTGTACCCAGTTCTCATAATGTCTGAAAGACTTAAGTAGATCTTTTAAAGTTATATAATAAAAAAGAAGGTAACATGGTCTGGCTAGATCATCATGGAACTAAAGTATATTTTGTCGCCAGATTGAAATAACCACATATAAAGGAATATATTTGAGCTTTTGTCACATACAACTTTCATTTATCCACAGCACAACCAAATGAATAAGAGGCAAGGTACAGTAATTGGCATAAAAGTCAAAACCACTAGCTGGTCTAAATGAGATTTTTTTAGGCAACAGTTCTTAGAAGTCTCCTGTGAGTCAGAATCCTAGGGCTAATTAGTAATGGTTTCACTCAACCTCCCATTGCCCCTGGATTTCTAAAAGCATCCTTCAGAAGATGATGGAGACTGATCTTTACCCATGGTTCTCTCTCTTGTAAGGCTGACTGGTAATAGCCAGACTGCTGTTATAAAGTTTTATGTAACTGCTACCCTATGAATCTAGTTCAACTTCTAGAATATAATTTTTTTCTTTCATCTTCTGATTTTTATAGTTTTCTTTATGATCAGAATGTTTAATCCTTCACTAGAAAAAATCTGGACAATTTAAAAAATAATTACTTATAACCTTACAGTCTAGAAATATCCACTTGAACATATTGGTGTGTTTCTCCCTATGATAGGGACAGAATGGGATGATCAAATAGTGAGCACAATAGTGAGTTCCCCATTAGGGAACTGTAGATAGAGAGGGAACTATAGGGGGCTTTGGAAGACCACAATAAGACTAATGATCACTCAAGAAAGTAATAGGAAAATTCTGAAACAATGTGGGCTTGCTTGACTCCTAAAGCAAAACAAGTCACTTAACATCAAAGTCAGATTGGCTTACTTAATGATAAAATCAAGCTAACTTCAGTTCAGTTCAGTCACTCAGTCGTGTCCAACTCTTTGTGACTCCATGGACTGCAGCACGCCAAGCTTCCCTGCCCATCACCAACTCCTGGGGCTTTCTCAAACTCACAGCCATTGAGTCAGTGATGCCATCCAAACATCTCATCCTCTCGTCCCCTTCTCCTCCCACCTTCAGTCTTTCCCAGCATCAGGGTCTTTTCCAATGAGTCAGTTCACATCAGGTGGACAAAGTATTAGAGTTTCAGCTTTAACATCAGTCCTTCCAATGAATATTCAGGACTGATTTCCTTTATGATTGACTGGTTTGATCTCCTTGCAATCCAAGGAACTCTCAAGAGTCTTCTCCAAAAGAACAGTTCAAAAGCATCAACTCTTTGGCTCTCACCTTTATTTATGGTCCAAATCTCACATCATACATGACTACTGGAAAGATCATAGCCTTGACTAGACAGACCTTTGTTGGCAAAGGAATGTCTCTGCTTTTTAATATGCTGTCTAAATTGGTCATGGCTAACTTACTTAGCAACAAAACCATGCAACAGAAACAGGGGACATGCCCACAAACAACAAAATCAATGGCAGCATGAAACCTACATCCTGCTCAGTAAGGCCAGTGAGTTAGTAACCCCCAAAACATGTTCTTTGGCCTAGACATGTTCTTTGCACAATGCCCCCAGAACAAAAGAACAATAGTAGAAAATAAGGCCTACAAACTGCCCAGTGATATCAGCAAATTAATGACCACCAAAACAGGCTCTGTGCACACAAGAAAATAATCATTTATGGAAAGATGACTTTTCACAATGAAAGGCCCTCATTGTACTGAGACCTGAAAATATTTTTCCAAGTGCTCTGACAGTTGAAGTAAACTTCCCTGCCCTACCTGGGGCAGGAAGCTGATGATGGAAGTTCTACTTTCTTTCTACTCAAGAAACACAAAGAAGATCTCCCTCCCCTCACTCTTTCTCTGATTACAAAAATGTAACCCATTGAGTACTTGGGCAGCGCAATGCTTGTCTTCCCGCTTGTGAACCTTACAAATGTCCTGTTCTGATAAATCACTTCCTATCCATCACTTTGCCTCTCACTGAACTAATTTCTGGGCTAAGACATAAAGGACTATGGTGCCGGAGCTCTTCAGAGCCCTGGAAACAACACCCAATGGTTTCAGCTGGTGACCAGAGCAGGACTGTGGTGAGATAAGAAGGTCTGGGGTTGGGTCCTAGAAGGGCCATGGGATGCCACAGGTCAGAAGTTCTGGGGAGGACACTCCACTGATGACAGTCCATTTCAGTCAGGCCAATCAACCCCAGAGCTTTAGGGCTCTGATTGGGTTCCGAGATACAAGCCAGGGGAACAATGATATGGATGTTTAAAGAACTGGAGGAATGATGACAATCAAAATGGGTTGCCATGGAAAGGTGGTATGGAAATACAGAAAGAATCTTATTGCTGGTGCAGAAGACAAGGGAAATGGTATGTGAAAAAGAAGGAATTTCACTGTCTGGGTTGCTTTGACCAGGTTTGAGCCCTAGCTACATAGATATATAGCAAGGCAGTGGAATGGCTGTGCTTGTATACATACAGGCACTATATGATGTTGCAGGATTTAGCAATCTCTACTCTTTTCTTTCACCCTGAGGTTTTCCTTCTATGCTCTCTATCAATTCCGTATCCTTTCTTTTAACTCCAAAAGACCCATATGATCACCGAGGTGTAACAATTCACTTTTCTCTCTCAATTTGTCAGAGAACCAGCTTACAAGACTCAAAGTACTTTTCCTTAATTACTAGGAGTGCCCAGTTGAGCACCTACCAGGCCCTGATGTCAGTCTTTTCCTTCCTCCAGGCCCTTGCAAGTGTTAACCCTTTTATTTCTGACTTGAAGCCAGACAAGTTCCAGATCATCGTCGGCACCATTGGGGACATCTTCTGTACTACTCCCTTGTGGCAATTTCTTGGGCAATAACATCTGGTTGGGAGACTTCTTTGGAAGGGATACCATCTAAAATCATAACAGCAGATCTTGATCAAATTGCACAAGAACAAAACTTTTGGATAACCCAGGAAGCAGAGACCTCTCCTCATGTTTGGGTCTAAGATGGGTCAAATTGAATGAATCCCAGTTGACATCCGTCTGGGACATGTACTCCAAGACTGGAAAAATATTGAACAAGATTTGAAAAAGAAAAAAACTTCCCAGGCTATGTAACCATGTTTGGCTGAAATATAAGTTAGAGAGCCAAGAAAAGTGGGCACTGAACAGGTCTCTAAATTATAATACAATATTGCAACTAGATTTATACTGTAGAAGGGACTCAAAAGGGAGTGAAATACTACATGTTCAAGTTTTTATGACCTTGTATTTGGGAACTGTAATTGGAAGGAATCTAATATTATGTGTAACCCAGAAGGCTCATTTAAGGAAGCAATCAGAGGACAGTTTAGCTGACCCAGTGTACAGGGCCATGCGAAGACCAGACCCCCCACAGAAAGAAGCTGCTGCTCCTGCAACAGCTCCCAGTGGGAGCTGTTCCACAGCCTCCTGGAGGAGCTATTGTGCCAACAGAAGCTCCCAGATCTGAGAGAGCTACTGCTCCAGCTGAGGCTAAAATCCCAGGGAAAAGTGTATGCAAAGGTGAGAAGAGGCCAGCACCATATTCCAGAACTCCTTCTCTGTACCTCAAGTTACCCGAGAAACACAATCTCAGCCCAGCTGGCACCCACAGTGGCATAAATTACTAGCCACCTGTCCCCACACAGTAACAGGCTGTTACTGCTCTGTCATTTCAGAACAGTAACAGTCCATGTGCCCTTTTCAAAATGTCTGATCTAAGTCTGGCCGAGGATAAATTGGGAAGTTTTTCGGAGGACCCTGAAATTTTCACTAAGGAGTTTAACAGGTCAATGAGAACTTTTGATCTCACCTGGGGAGATTTGCAGATTTTTACTATCCCACTGCTGCACCCCAGAGGAGAAACAGTATATAATACTAGCAGCCAGAGACAGTGCTGACCAAATGGCAACTAGGCCCCAACAGGGACATGCAGTTTTTCAAGTGGGGAATGACACTGTCCCTGAGGCTGATCCACAGTAGAATCACCAGATGAATTCTACTGACAGGGACAGACAGGACAATATGATTAACTGTTGATAGAAGACATGAAGAAGCTTATAGTAAAGCCTGTTTATTATGAGAAAGTAAAAGAAGTCCAACAGAGACCAAATGAAAATCCTGCAGTTTTTCAAGAGAGATTAGAGGAAACTTTTAGAAAGTATACAAATGAGGATCCCCTTCCCCCAAGGGACAGACCCTTTGTCCTTTTGGCTATGCATTTCATAGCCCGGTCTGCTCCAGACATCAGGCACAAAATTCAAAAGGTAACTGCTGGTCCTCAAACCCCTATGAATGATTTACTCCAATTGGCTTATTCAGTTTTCAATAATATGGATGCAGCCAAAAAGGCTGAATGCCTGAAGAGAGACAAACAAAAGGCTCAAATGATTACAAAGGCTTTGCCCACTCAGGGACCAAAGGAAAGGCCGGGTTTTTTGGGCCAATCTGACCATGGTGGGCCATAAGGCCCACGGGCACCCAAACAAAATCACTGTGCCCTGTATGGACAGAAGAGATGCTGGAAGAAAGATTCTGATCAGTCTACCCTTTGCCAACAGTCAGTGCTTGAGCAGAGGGGATACCTCAGATGCCAGTGGGAGATGGAGCCCATTAGGCTTCACAATTGGAAGATGGAGGGGCCCGAGGCCAGAAGAGGCTTTGCCTAGAGATACCATCTATATAATTAATGCTGAGGCTTAATAAAGTAGCAGGCAACTTGATAGAATTTCATAT